AGGCTTTACCATAATTGCAGTCATGGGCCAGTGCCTAGGGTGGCCGGGGTAGAGGGGCAGCCTCAAAATTTACAAGCTACGATAACATTTTGGGATGATGTTGGGAGGAATCAGGAAAAAGTAAAATATATCTGTCATCAGACATCATGCCGCCTCTTTTAGAACATTCTAGTGTCAGTTTTTACATGTGATCACATGACGCAAAGGGCGGAGCTTGCACTAAAGGATGTCATCTCGGTGTCCCTAGCACAGGATGGTGTCTAAGCACGGTCCTCCCTCCAGGCACCCTCAGAATCCAACGGGGGTCATTATGGGGGACTCACAAAGTGCTGTCCGGGCTGCAGAGAGTCGATACGAAGGTAGACGGCCGCCATCAGCTCTCTGGGTAAGTTCAGGTTCCCGGGGCCTTCGGAACAGGATGTCGGCCGACCATATCCCCCGGCCAGGTCTGCCACCGAGTACACGCTGCCCAATACACGCAGACAGAGCCCAGCCATAGAGAGCAAGGAGAGGGAAACAAAGTATTACACGTTATCAATCCCAATTTCCTGCATGGTGCTCACACACCATTTCCATACATTCCCAGTGCCTGAAACATGTATAATGAGTGTAACGGGAGCACCAAATGAAAGCTCTGAGAGTCCTAAACTTTTATTATTGATAAGGATTCACAACATCCACCATTGGGAGCTCAGAGACACAGGGACCCCCATAGAGAGCCTCGCCCTAACCCCGAGGTTGTAGAGAGCCTCGTCCTAACCCCGAGGAATTCCTCCTAAAGCATAAAATAAATATTTTATTCTCATTAAACATTGGAAGTCACCGGCCCGCTGGACTCACCTCCTCTCTGGAAGGACGTCTGTGGCTTCCTTGATGGCGCTGGACGGGGCGCCGTTAACACTGGAGTTTGATTCTGTCTTTTCTGCCATGAACAGGAAAGAACAATATGAGGTCATGGACTGACGGGTGGCACCGGAATTATGAATTGGTTTTATATTCCACCCAACGCTGCGTGGAACCCGGCACACGGACATCCGCTTCACTGCGGCCATTTTTCCTGTCATGGTCGGCGCCCAGCTCATTGCAAATATCCGGTAACGTCCTGAGAAATCATGTGCTGGCTGCTTTTAAAAACCATCTCCAGCCTTGGGGATTTCCCCTTTAGGGCCTGTTCACACGACGTGCGTTTTCTGTGCTGACCCGATCCGTACGCTCCTGCACTAAAAATGCATCCCAATGTATCCCTATGTGCAGTCCGTTCAGGTTACGACAGAAAAATACTGCACGTCACATTTTGTACGGACCGGAAACGCAAAACGCGTCAAAAACGCACTGCACTGCAGCTAACATACTAACCCACTCCAGCAAAAAAAAAAAAGTGTTTTTTTTTAAAACCTGGAACGCATCAAAAACGTGGCCAAAACGCACTGCATCAGTAGCACCGCGTCTGCAGATCCGCACCTAATATCATGTGAACAGGCCCTAAGTCTGATCATCCCCTCCCAATGGAATAGTCCAGAAAAAAAACATCACTTTTTTTCCAGGTCCAGTCATGTGACATGACAGGTTCTCTTCATCCTGATGGGAGGATACTGAATGCTGCATAGAAGAGACATAGTGCTGTTCTCTGTAGCATTTTCTC